GATAAGAGAAGAATTTATGAATAAACAAGATAGTGTTGTGGGATATAAGATGGATAATTTTGATTACATTAAATTAAAAAGGTTTTGTATAAATAAAACTAATGTAGTCAAGATTATAAAGAAAGCAGAAAATTGGGGGGAAATTTTTATAGCCGTTTTCTTGGATAAGGGCCTTATATCTCAAATATATAGAGAACTGAGTCAAATTTATAAGAATATGAGCCTTTCTCCAATTGTTAAATGGCCAAAGGATATGAGCAGGCAGTTTTGGGAAGAAATCAAAGCTATGTAGTCATATGAAAAAAATGCTCTAAATCATTATTAATTAGAGAAATGCGAATTAAAACAACTCAGATACTATCTCACACCTATCAGATTGGCTAAAATGATAGAAAGGGAAAATGACAAATGTTGGAGGGGATGTGGAAAAATTAGCACACTGATGAACTGTGGGTGGAATTGTGAACCAATCCAACCATTTTGGAAAGCAATTTGGAATTATGTCCAAAGAATTATAACACTCTGTATACCCTTTGACCTAGCTATACCACTATTAGATCTGTTTCCCTAGGTGATTGGGAAAAAGGAAAAGAACTTATGTATTCTAAAACATTTATATCAGCTTTCTTTGTGGTGGCAAAGCACTGGAAAGTGAGGGGATACCCATCACAGCTGAATAAATTGTGCGTATGATTGTGATAGAATACTACCGTGCTGTAAGAAATGATGAGCATGCTGGTTTTAGAAAAACATGGAAAGACTTGCATAAAATAATGCAGAGTGAAACAAGCAGAACCAAGAGAACATTGTATACAGTAACAGCAATATTGTTCAAAGAGTGACTGTGAATGACTAAGCTATTCTGAGTAATGTGATTATTCATATCAATCAACTGTAACTTACAAAGGAAAATGCCATCCACCTCCAGAGGAAGATCTGATATATGAAAGTATGTATTGTGTGTGTATATATATATATGTATGATATATATATACACACACACACACTATATATATACATATATATACATATACATGTGTGTATATATATATATATATATATACACACAGAGAGAGATACATACATACACACACGTCAAATGTTGGCTTTCTATAATACGGGTAGAGAGGGATGGAGGGAGAAAACTTGCAACTCAAAATGTTACAAATAGAATAATTCATTAAAAATAAAATGCATTGCTGCAAGTCTGTGTCAACTTAGAAAACCACAAATTAACATTATCTATGTTGTATTGTATTTTTATTTATCTTGTTAAAATTTTCCTTTTACATTTGAATTTAGTTGGTATAGCACTCTGTTCTGGAGGCATGCAAGCTTTTTGTTTGACATCTCTGGCCTAGAGGGCAGTACAGCTAGGTGGATTCAGGTCTATTTAGAATTCTGAAATTCTTCGATTCTGTCAAGGGAGGGATTGAAGATGCCTGAGAAAAAGATAAAGGAATTATTGCTAGAGCAAGGTCACAGAGGAGAGAGGAGGGGAGAAGACTGAGTTGGGGGTGGGATGGTGACCGGCTAGCAAAGAAGAGGGCCACCTCTTCCTCTGAGACTGAAGGGAAGGAGGAGAGAACAGGTGAGGACATTGAGAGGAGGAAAGAGTAGAGGTTAATTCCCAGCAGATGGCTTTAATCTTTTCGGCTAGGTTGGAGGTGAGGTTGTCTGCTAAGCATGGGGAAGGAGGGGAAGAAGGAGGGAGTGGGATTGGGGTTGAAGAGATTTGCAACAGCTGCTTTGGGAAGCATGAAAATCACTTTGCCTTGCAACCTTAAGAGCCCTGTTGGGGCCAGATAGTCCAAGTGTGTAGTGGACGAGTCCGCAAGATTTCCTGATGTTTGTCACGCGACTCTGGGCAGCTTAGGAGTAAGGGAGGGGAGGCTAGATGGTAGGAGTTAGCCATGGCTGAGAGTTAGTGGGGGCACAAACAGGAGAAGGGCTTCAATGAAAAGATTCCAAGGTGGAGGAGCAGGCAGTATTTTGAACACCAGAGCTCTAGGAGATTGGCAGGAGGCCAGCCTACCATCTAGATTAGTGAGCTACAAAGTGAGGACCATAGCTTGACCCCAACGAGTGTGTAATTAACTGATTTGGAAGAGTTTGCAGATGGGACACATCCCACCCTCACAGCTGTGGCCAATACTGGTACTGGGCTCAGGCACAACCTTATCTAGCCTTATCTCCTCACTCTCATCTACTTGGGCTCCTCCTTCTCTCTGGTGTGGAAGCTCTGGACTCCAACTTTCTGGATCACAGATTATTCCCTCCGGGCTAGTCTAATTTAACTATTAGTCAGGTGGCATGGGGGTGGGGTTAGAGTAAGTGACACAGGACACAGAATGGATGAGTTGTGGTCTTCGTCATAGCCTCGTTTAATTATCTTTTCTCCCAAATTCACCCCTTTTCTACACTTCCCTATTATGCCAAGGATACTATCATCTTTCCAGTCACCCACATCCTCACCTTTGACTCCTTACTCTCCCTCACCCCATATATCACACCAGTGGCAAATCTGGTCATTTTGTCATCTCTCCCCTGGTCCCCTTCTCTCCACTCAGAGCTGCCACCCTAGTTCAGCCTCTCATCACCTCACCCATGAATCCTCACAGCAGCCTTCTTACCTCGGGTCTTTCCTCACTTGGATTCACCCTAGATGCTACTGCCAAAGTGATTTTCCTTAGGCACAGATCTGACCGTGAGACTCTCCTCTTTGGCTAATCTCAGTGGCTTCCTGTTGCCCTTGGAATAAAATGTTATTTCATCTTTATCTCATCCTTTTTTAAGTTTTACAATGCATATAAGTATTAATGCAGTAGTACATGTATATAATTTATTAATAAGTAAATACATATATTGGGCCTGTGTACTCAACTTTTTTTTACTGATGGGATGCGTGACCAGAAGAGTTTAGAGACCACTGATTTAGACAGGTTTCAGCAATCTGAAGTCTCCCTCTTGCCTGTTGTCTCCCAACAACGAACAGTGGAACCTCGGCATTCAGGTTTTTCCCTGTTGCCTCTGACTCCGACTCTGTTTGCTCCACTTTCCTCCCTTCACCTTCCTCTGGGCCTGAAAACAATGGTTCAGAAGCAGCTTTGGAATTTTATCTTTCTTGACTAAGAAGGGCAAGCCTGGGTCCTTTAATCTGCTAATATAGTTTCTATTCCTGGTAGGCTCTTGGTTACTCCCAGTTAGCATCTGTGCTCCGGTAGTGATTACCACATAAAGATGAGCAACTGAGTTTTGTTGGTGTTGGCCCCAGTTTGCGGCTGCCTCTAGGGCAGTGGTGCTGGTGGTGGAGGGGTGCAGCCCTTGGCTCCCATACGGATTTCATTTCTGGCCATGAAAAATTGGGTATGTGATCAAAACTAGCCCAAATGGTTGCCATAGAGCCTTGATTTCTAAGAAAAAGGGCGGAGTGCTAATTGGTACTCTTGGTTTCTTTGAAACAGCGAAGGGTATGTGTAGTAAATTGATACGAAGAAGGCTGTATAAAATATTGCCGTCTTAATCTGTTACTTAGGTACCAGGACTGAAGAACTCTTGTCCGACATAGGGTCTGTAGAGAACTTTAGAGCTGGCAGACACTAGTAGAGATTCTTTGGTTCAAACGCATACACCCCACGCCCACTGGCATCCAGCGTTTTCATTTCCTTAGCCCTCACCTAGAGGAATAATCCCGAAGTATTTCTGCAATGCCTAACACTGGGATGCTATTTTGCATTCTGCTAGATGTGGATTCATTAAGGGTCTGCTCTTTGTAACCTGGTGCCCCTTTAAGAAAGTTCCCTAAGGAAGCCCGTGCCAGAGGAGATTCGATTGCAATCAGCTGGGTCTCGAAGGGGGGCAAGGTTTAGCTGCAGGGGCTTGGTCAGCAGAGGGAGAGGTAGTGGGGCCATCTCGGGAAACTGGAGTCTGAACGGCATCAAAGTTGTCACCTTCATTGGTCGAGGGAGCACCGACACAGATGGGAGTAAGAGAGGAAAATGGGGTGGGGGGACAGGAACCCAGAGAGTTTTTTCTCAAAAAGTGCTGGAGAAACTCCTTTCTTATGGGGCCGTGAAACCTATCCTGATCTTCCAAACCATTAGCAATCTTTCCTTCATCTAATCTCGTGCGTAACATTTTGTGCTTCTAAGGGCTAATGTTTATCTGTGGATGAGTCCAAAGCCCCTAGTAAGCCAAAAGTTCCTTCAGGGTAGGTCTCATTTATCTGGCTAGCTCCTTACCCCTTCCCTCCAGCAAGCTTGACTGCACATGGTAGGTTCCTAATAATACTCGAGGAACTGGCCCAGTGGATAGAGCCCTTGACTTGGAGTTGGGGTCTGAATTCAAATCCTGCCTCAGACACTTCCTTAGCCAGTCACTTCACCTCTGTCTCAGTTTCTTCATCTGTAAGATGGAGATAACACCTGCCTCCTCAAGTTGTTGGGAGGGTCAAATGAGATGATATTTGTGAAGCACTCTGCATGCCATGTCTAGCTCTTCCTGACAAAACTTTTCTTGGCAAAGATACTGCAGTGGTTTGCCATTTCCTTCACCAGCTCACTTTATAGATGAGGAACTGAGGCAAACAGGGTGAAGTGACTTGCCCAGGGTCACACAGGTAGTAAGATGAGTCTTCCTCTGACTCTAGGCCCTGCACCTTATCTACTGCAGCACCACCTAGCCGCAAACCTTAAAAACCTCTACAAATGTTAGCTACCGTTAGCTAGCTCTCTGCTCTTATTGAAAGTGCTCAGGGGCTGACCACGCAGTTTGGTTGCTGTAACAGGATGATGGCCACCATCATACCTAGTGAATGAAAATTCATACTAGTTGGGGCCATTTGAAGAGACTGTAGCCAATTTTCCCCAACTGCTGCTTGAACTTCCGAGACAACGTACAATTTGGGGACGCGAGAAAGAATCGTTCTGTTTGGAGCAAGGCTCCTGTCAGCCAGTTTCCTGGTTTCCAGCATTCCATACCCTTTGAGGGTTGCACAGTAGCAGAACAGGTAGCTATGTCCCGCACTTGGAGCTGACCCTATGGGGAGTGGGGCCTGTGTGCATCGAGTGTCTGGCTGTAAGAGCTGGCTTTGCTGCAAAGAGGGGAAAATCCTACAAAGAATTGTTCCCCCTTTCGTTCTAAGCAATTATTGGATCTCTCGCTTTCTTAGGCTGTCGCTCAAGGGGATTTTCAGCGAGCAGTCACGTGCATCCAACGCTGCAAAGATATGCTGATGAGGCTGCCCCGAGTGGTGAGTGAAATCTCAGCTTTTTTCTTTCTTTTTTTTGGGGGGGGGGGTGTGTGTGTGTGTGTGTAAATTTTTTTTGTTTTAAACTCAAATACAAAATGAGAAAAGAAACAAATCCAAATATTGCCATGTACACAGCAGACCATAAGGGAGGATTCAATATAAAACAACAAATGTCCATTTCAAGAAAACCTCTGTGACAAATACTCCACACTGTTTTCAAAGCTGCCCAGCTTTTCTCTGCTTCCTTGTTGGTTTTCTTTTGTTCTCTGCTGTGCACTTCTCAGCTTTTGTTTTCAAAGCTGGCCGCCCTGCCACTCTCCTCAGCCCCTTGGCGCCCCCTCCCCCCCAGCCTTTTAGAAAGGCTTCTAGCTATTTCCTGAAGCTGTCTGAAGATTTCACTTTGGACCCAGCTCTTCTGGTAAATGCTTAGATCTGAAGCTTGTTTACTAAGGGTAAGCTAATCAAAAACAAATTGAAAATAGGTAAGTTCTTTGCTTCCCCTTTTCTCATGAAACCAGAACACATTTCTAAATTTCATGCCCCTTGAAGCAATGGTGGTTGGGGACAATCACGAGCAGATCGAATTCAGAGTAGTTATTGGCATCTCTGCGGTGCAGGGACCGGACGTTGCAGTTCAGACGTGTGCAGAGCTTGGCAGTGTCTGGCCCATTCCCATGGCTGGGCTGTGGTATAATGATAAGGTTAGAGAAATTTAGGGTTGGAAAGTTCTCTTCTTCCCCTTTCTGCTCCTGCTTTCTGCCCTTCTCTCCACCGACCCTCCCCCAGGCAATGGTGTGCTCGTGCTGCCAGTCTCTGGTCACAGAGGAAATGGAATATGGGGAGAGCTCAAATCAAACCGGGGGGGGGGGGGGAGTGCCTGCTCCAAGGTAGGGCTTCCCAAAAAGGGCTGCTTTGCTTCATATTTTAAAAAGTGAATGGGGCTCCAAATGGATTCTTTTAAAAATGTGTTGATATTTTTATTTGAACATCATCCTCAGTTCCAAATATGTCCCTCTGTCCTCGCCCTCCCCAGACAACCCCACGTGTTAGTGGAGCTGTGAGTATGTGTAGTGCTGTGCTTTGTAGCCTTGACTCTGCAAAGAGGGGAGGGAGGTACACTTTCCCAGCCCTTCTTTGGAGTCGAGTCTGGTCACAAAAATATTCTTTCAACGGCTCAGCTTGGTTCCTGATACGTGTCTCTGAACCGAAGAGATCAGACGAGGCGGTCGCTGAGGTGTCTTCTGGCTCTTGGAGTTTTGGCATTTTGCGGTCATGTACCAAGATTATTCTGAATGATGATCATATTAATAAGTAGCTAATATCTCTACAGTGCTTACTACGTGCCAGATACCTTGTTTCCTTAAATATTTTCTCTCTACAGACTTAGTGCAAGGGACATCTTGAAACATTTGCGAACTTTTGCTATATCTCCTTTTTTAGCTGTAGGTATGCTTGATATATTTTCTGTCATTTCTTGCATGCAAGTGTAGCCCATGTAAGAACTCAACATCCTTATCCTGACTCCCACTTGCATTGAGGAGTCAATCTTCCTAGAGCTAGGCTGTGTCTCCCTCTCTGGGCTCTAGCATTACCCCTGACGGTTTAGAGACTTCGTTCAAATACTCTTGGCTCAAGCCCCCATTCCAGTGTGCTCTCCCCAATACTAATAACCAGTTATAGTTAGCCTCTCCCTTAGAGCAGGAAAGAAGAGATGCAGTAGAGATAGAAAACAGCTGCGTCATGTGCATGGCTACATGGTTGCCCAGGTAAGGAAAAAAAGTCTTCTCTTTCCACCTGGAAGCTTACAACGCTCCTACTGCAAGGTAGCAGAGAGAGAGGGGAGTGAGTTAGGGAGAGAAGTAGGTGGATGGACGGATGGGTGGAAGGAAGGAGGGAGGGAAGGAGAGAGAAAGAAGCAGAGAGGATGAGAGAGAAAATCAGGGGAGTGAGACAGACAGACTCACTGGCTCATCAGTGACTTTTGAATGTGCACCCAGTTCTGGTTCAGCAGCCAGTCAAAAGTCTATTTTTTCACCACATGGTAGACTGGAAGCAGTTATAGAATACTGTACCTGCACATGCTTTGAAGCCCATGCTTGCTAGGGCTAGGCTTGACCAGTCCCCTGTTACCCAAGTTATTGCTGGTAACATTCTATACCCTACTTAGATCCATTATACCTTGCTATCGTCCATTGGGAATCCGACATTTGGGATTATACCGAGGTCGTGGTGTGCCATGATTCACATCCATAGAGCATCATAGGGACGATATTAGTGTTAAAAGATGGGCTGAGGTGTGAGGGATCAAGGAAAGGGCTGCGTGATTCCCTAAATGCCATCGGGTCTGCTTTCTCCTTGATTCTGGGTCAGCAGGGCCTGTCTAAGGTAGATATGTCCATGGACTAACTCAAAGTGCTTCTCATTCAACTGCATTTCGTCATCCGGGTACTAGACATTCTCTAGAGTATCATAGACTTGGAGCTAGACGGGCCCTTAGAAGCCATCTGGCCTCAACCTCATGAGGAAACTGAGGGCCAGAGAAAGGAAGTGACTTGCTTCAGGCAGTAAGTACCTAAGTTTGGGTTTGAATCCAGGGCCTTCAACTCCAAATCCAGCGCTCTTTCCATTATTCCACGTAGCAAAAAGGCCAATCGTTTTTGAGAGGCTGTGGATTTCGTTCAGAAAGCCCTCTGATACCATTTAGTCTCTGCAGGATAGCCCTCACAACAGTGGTGAGCACATTTGGCAAGTGCATTTCTCCCTCTTTTAAGTTTAGTTTCATATTAATAAGCAGAGGATCGTTGGACAGAATTCTTTCTGTGATCGTATCTTATACCCTCTAAGGATTGGTTGTGGATGCTTAGACTGGAGAAAACGTTCAGGAAGGATATAAGTCTTAAAGTATCTGAAGGACTCTCATGTGGGGAGGGGGAAGGGGATGGCCTCAGAGGGGCAACTAGAAACAATGGGGAGAAGTTGAAAAGCAGCAAAGTCAAACTTAATTTCAAGACAAGTGTCTTAATGTGTACAGCTGTGAAACGTGTGCGGTGCAGCCTCGGGAGGCAACAGATTCTCTCATTCGAGATCTCGAAGTTGTCTGAGTGACCAATTGGCAGGTTTGGTGAAGTGAGAGCCTTTTTCTGCTACAGATTGAAGTAGGTGGGACTCCAATGTCTGTGTCAACTGATATTCGGTGATTCTGTTGTATGATCCCAGCTTAGGCTTGGGAACCTAATTAGTGCCTTGGAAAATTGTCATATTGCTGTTGATGACTCTTGAACTGCACGGGAGACTAAGCTGTATTGGGGAATTTTGCATTATCTTGATTAAAAATTTCTGACCTCTAGTTTTGAGGTGCCCTAGGGTGTTTTCAGAAAGGAGTATCATTAAATTTTCCTGTCTCCTCAATAAATCAATCCATTAATAACTACTTAGTTAATCAGCAAGCATTTATTAAACGCTCACTATGTTCCAGGCATGGTACTAAGTGCTGTGGATACAAAGAAAGGCAAAAATGTGGTCCCTGCCCTCAAGGAGCTCACTTTCTAATGGGGGAGACTACACGGAAACCACTACGTACATAGAAGAGAGATCCAGGGGAACTTGGAGTTAAGCTTAGCGGGAAGGCACTGCATGAAGGGGGATCGGGCAAGGCTTCTTTGCAGAAGGCAGGGGTGAGGAGAGAGCATTCCAGGCATCGGGGCCCGCCAGTGCAAAGGCACAGAATTGGGAAATGGAGGGTCTTCTGTGAGAAACAGCCAGCAGGCCTTTGTCAATGGAGTGTAGACTGTGGAGAGGAGCACAGTAGAAAAAGACTGGACGTATCAGAAGGGGCCAGGTTGGGAAGAGCTTTAAAGAGCAAGCAGAAGACTTTGGATTTGTTCCTGGAGGTAAGAGAGTTTGTTAAATACAGAGGTGACATACCGAGAGAACGGTACATGCATTAGGAAAACCCCTTTGGCGGCTGAGTGGAAGATGGTGGTTTGGAGAGGGCAGAAACTTGTGGCAGGAGACTAATTAGAAGGCTAAAGACTCTCCAGGTGAGAGGTGAGAAGGGCCTCGACTAGGATGGCAACTTTGTGAGTGGAGCGAAGAGAGATGTGAAGTGAGAAATGCCAAGGCTTACCAACAGATTGGCCAAGTGGCTCGAGTGAGAGTGAAGGGTTGAGGCCGACGTTGAAATTGTGAGCTTGGATGATGGCTGGGCGGTGGGGCCCTTGTCACTAGTAAGGAGAAAGTCAAAGGAGGGGGAGGGCTTGGGGGAAGATCGTGAGTTTTGCTTTGGAAGTGCTGAGCTTAAGATGACTATGGGACACATAATTTGAGGCGTCCAAAGGCAAGTTGATAGTAGGAGACTGGAGCTCAGGAGAAAGACGAGGGCTGTCTACATAGCTCTGGCAATCATCCCCAGAGAGATGACAATTGAATCCATGGGAGATGAGATCACCAAGCAATTCAATAGAGCACAAGGCCCAGGATAGCTTCTCAGATACTGGCAATTAGTGGATATGACCTAGATGAAGGTCTATCAAAGGAAACTGAGAAAGGGGAGTGCTTAAGAGGAGAGAGCAGTGTGACAAACCCTAGAGAGGAGAATGTGTCCGGGAGAAGAGGGTGAAGGACAGTGTCAGCGGCCGCACAGGCCAAGAAGGATGAGGACTGAGAAGAGGCCATTGGATGCGGCACCTAGGAGCTCATTTTTCGGCTTTGACTGGATGAGGAGGTTGGAAGCTGAATTACCGAGGGTTTAGAAGTAAGTGATTGGAGAGGAAGTAGAAGCATCTAGTTTAGACTGATTTCTAAAGGACTTGAGCTGAGAAGAGGAAGGCAGATACAGTGTCTGCACTGGAGGGCGGGGAGGGCTGCTTCAAGTAAGGGGTTTTTAAGATTGGGAGAGAGATGAGGACGTTTAGAAGCAACCAGCAGATAGGGAGATATTGAAGTTTAGAGAGAGAATGGATGTAATCCATTGGAGAAGTGGAGAGTGGATAGGACCAGAG